AATTCAGCTCACTTTGCTTGTTCACAAACCTACATACTATTATACCAGAAACAAGTCACACGTCACCTTGCTCTTGTCTATCACATCACCTGTCGCCTGTCACCTATCCCGTGGACTGAATGCCCGTCTGGGCGTTTTTGAAGATTTGGCCTTCAGCTTCCTCCACTCCTTCCGGTTTTCAGCTTTTCTGAGCGTGTCTTTGAGTTCCAGGCCTGTCCATTCCTTGATGTTGTCCTCTCTTAACTCTTCTTCGGTCTGTCTCTGCTATTTTTTCCCTGGAAGCTGCCTTACAGGATCATCTTGGCAAAGCCTGATGAACGGGTGATGTGTCCATACCATTGTAGTTTGCGTTTCCTAACCAGAGATCAGCATACGGTCCAATTTCATTTTTGATCCGTTGTTTGACTTCATCTTTTATGATGTGATCTTCGTTTGAGATACCACGGATTTTTCGGAAGCATCTCATCTCCACAGCTTTGATCATTCTTTCAAGGTCGGCATTCAAGGTCCAGGATTCACATGCATACAAAAAATACTGACATGACCACAGAACGCACCAGTCTGATCTTTGATCTGATGGTGATATTTCTGTCTTTCCACGTGTTGGCCTACTATTTTTGTACTTGAATTTATGTCTGTTCATAGCCACGGCCCTTTGCCCCACCACATACTGCTCCAAGTTCTGCTCAATGGGATATGTCAGGAACACGGACAACTGCAACACATGTTCTTGTGTTGACCGTAAGTAGTCTTCCTTTATCTTTTCTTTTTAGTGTAGGTGATTTTACACCCCACTCCCCCCCCCCCCAAAAAAAAATATTATAAAAATTCAAATTTGGTCTTTTAGGAGAACAGCTTCGACCCTATCTGTTAGGGACAACCTGGCTGAGAGGGATACAAGGTCCCAGCAGAAAAACCAAGATACTCGATAAAAATTATCTCCACACGGGATCGAACTCAGGCCTACTGCATGCGACGGCGAAGTGCCTAATAGCTGCACCACCGACACCAGTGTACCATCTTTCACGAATAATTATTTTGAGCCGAGAATCAATTTATAATGTTGAAGCTGGTTGCTCTGTTGTCTCTTTTTGCTGAAGATGTACAGTAACTGAAAGATAGAGAGAAGGAAGAGCGGAGGAAGACAGGCAAACATCAAAATGGAAATTTTAAAAATCGGAGCTGATCAGGAAGACTGACAGCAGGGATGAGTGGGGTACCTTACTTACTTTACCTTATCCTTCCTCTTGTGTCATTTATGTCCAGGAGAGGTGCATTTTTTCAGTAAAGGGCCACATGGGTGAACCACGACGATCGTCAATGTCTATTCCAGACGTGACATCAGAAGAAGAAGTTCTGTACCTAAAGCCAATCAGGATTGAATCTATAAGCCAATCTTGTTCCTGATTTTTCTAAGCGTCTGACATCTGTCCACCTGCATTACCTAGAAGTTTATGTATTACGACTCGCTGGAAGCAGGCGCTTGTCAAGTTTTGTGTGTTTGGGGGGGGGGGGGAGGGGGTACAGATAGAGTAAATGTTATAGTACCATCAAGCCTACTCATTATTTTGTCTTGCATTTAGTTAGAGAAAAAAAACCATATCGTACATCATGAGAATAAGTCTAGATATTGATTTACGACTGAATGAGATGCGGATAGCATGGTGTCAGAGGCAAATATACCTATATTGTGCCTTTTATCACTTTTTTGGGGGGTGGGGGGGGTGTGAGGGTGGTAAAATCCTAGCAGGGGTGTGTTGTTGAATTAACCCCAAAAAATGGGTGGAGCCCAAAGCAAAAAAAAAAACGTCGATTAAAAGTTGCTCAACAGGCGGAAAAATAATATTATGTTTCTTCGATTTCATTATTTCGACGAGCACCTGATCTAAACACAATGAAACACATAGTATTTATATGTCCGTGTGACTCCTACAGTCAGCGTTTGTATGTCCGTGTGACTCCTACAGTCAGCGTTTATATGTCCGTGTGACTCCTACAGTCAGCGTTTATATGTCCGTGTGACTCCTACAGCCAGCGTTTGTATGTCCGTGTGACTCCTACAGCCAGCGTTTGTATGTCCGTGTGACTCCTATAGTAAGCGTTTGTATGTCCGTGTGACTCCTACAGCCAACGTTTATATGTCCGTCTGACTCTTACAGCCAACGTTTATATGTCCGTCTGACTCTTACAGCCAACGTTTATATGTCCGTGTGACTCTTACAGCCAACGTTTATAATATGTGCGTCTGACTCTTACAGCCAACGTTTATAATATGTCCGTCTGACTCTTACAGTCAGCGTTTGTATGTCCGTCTGACTCTTACAGCTAACGTTTATATGTCAGTCTGACTCTTACAGCCAACGTTTATATGTCCGTCTGACTCCTACAGTCAGCGTTTGTATGTCCGTGTACTCCTACAGCCAACGTTTATATGTCCGTCTGACTCTTACAGCCAACGTTTATATGTCCGTCTGACTCTTACAGCCAACGTTTATATGTCTGTCTGACTCTTACAGCCAACGTTTATATGTCCGTCTGACTCTTACAGCCAACGTTTATATGTCCGTCTGACTCTTACAGCCAACGTTTATATGTCCGTCTGACTCTTACAGCCAACGTTTATATGTCCGTCTGACTCTTACAGCCAACGTTTATAATATGTCCGTCTGACTCTTACAGCCAACGTTCATATGTCCGTCTGACTCTTACAGCCAGCGTTTCGGGTCAAAGAGCCACCTGTGGTACCATGAACTGTCTCCGGGCCTGTCCTCACGGCTTCCGAGTGGAGGAAAACGGCTGTCCGTCATGTGACTGCGGGGATGAATCTCTGGGTATGGTGTTGTTGTGTTTATATGTGTGTTTGTTTGTTTCTGTGTTTGTGTGTGTGTTTGTTTGTGTATGTGCGTATGTGTGTGTGTGTGTTTGTGATTGTGTATGTGTGTATGTGTGTGTGTGTGTGTGTGTGTGTGTGTGTGTGTGTGTGTGTGTTTGTGATTGTGTATGTGCGTATGTGTGGGTGTGTGTGTTTGTTTGTTTCTGTGTGTGTGTGTGTGTGTGTTTCAGTGTTTGTGTGTGTGTGTTTCAGTGTTTGTGTGTGTG